TTCTGAGCAGAGCGACGAAACAATGGCAGGAAGGACCGAATCTGCGCTGTACTGAATGCTGGGTCCATGATTTTCCTGATCCGTGCATGTTCGTGATCTGCAAGTTATGTACCGATAAGCAGTGGCGATGCATCTGGGAAAAACACCTGCCATTTGCAAACAGTATGCCATCGCCTGTAAGTTGTCTTGAAATTTGTCTGGCATCAATCCTCCTTGAATACTTATGACCCGCTTTGTGAAAGATATGGTGCAAGGCCTGACAACACAAATGTTGCTTAGAATATCAGAGCAGTGGACGGCGCTGCATACCTTGGGATCCACGAGCCACAGATTATCTTCCTGCATGGAAAGGTGAGTGTCATAATGGATACCGACTAATCCACTGACTCCGACGCAGTCCTTGAGACGCCATGCGGAACCATATTGACGAATCCACTCGGACTCCAAATCGCCCACGTCGTCTTCATGAGACAGCAGGAGATTGTGGCCTATACGTTTGCAAAGCTAAGTCCGCTTCAAACATGAGTCTTGGCAAGACTGACCAAGCAGTAAACTTGGGGAAGGCGGCCCTCTGATGCGACTCAGCGAATGTCGATTCATCCGCCGGTAAACGGCAACCCCAATGGTAGAGACAAGAACAAGAAGCACTGCAGCGTATGCAGACATTTGCATGGATTGAAGTGGACAAAAGGACGATGGTCAGATCTGTGTCGACCATGCGCCGTGGGTTTAAATCCTAAGCAAATCTGTCAGATATGATATTCCGATACTCCTGCACAAGCGACCAAAGTAGCATGACAGCATCAGCATGACGGAATAACGAGCGTAAGCGTGCGTACATACGAATGAATGGATAGACGGCATTCTATTCCGCCACGGCTGTTGTTCTCGTATCGGTTCTTTCTGGAAACCTTCGACATCCAGGAACAAACGAGAACATGGCGAGACATGCAGAGAGGTGAGCGATATGGATTCATGCTTTTACATGACGTACGGAACCGGATAGATATTGTGAGAAGACCAGCGGGCAGGTGAACCCTGCTTCGACGGAAGGCTGCCACTCCCGTGGTTCATGCGTTCAAATGGGATGTCTTGCCGTTGCAAGGGCTAACACACTGGTCGCCAGTGCAGCAACCTTTTCTTCCTTTGCAAATCACCCACAGAAGGTACCATCGAGCTTCATAGGAAACCGTGGTATATAGTTCCTCGCTTAACCTTGCATAGACTCAATGAATGTCTAGGTTGCTGGTCAGATTGAAATTGGCCTGTCCTCCTGGTTGTTATCGCCTACATTCTGCATCCGATATGAACGATGCGTGTGATTTACCGCATCTTCTGATTAGAAACCCGGGTCCGCGTATCGCAACGAATGGATAGAGTTGCGTTGACGCTCTTACTCGGATGAACATGGTCACCCCTCCTGTGGTCGAGGGAATGAGCGCGTCTACCACCGCTTCTCGTCGGAGACAAGACGCCGTATCGGCAGGAATCATATATCGCATAGTTTCCTGGAGGCTTCGAACGTACATAGTGCGCCGAATAATGTGCACCTCGTGAGACGTTTCGTTCACAGACATTGCATGTGTTCCTAGAACCTGTAAGTCGATCTAGACTGGACTGCGGGAGCTGGCCATGATTCTGTCGACGAGAGCTTCACCCGCAATGTGAAACGCAGAGAAGTGCCTGAGACCGCGGAGGGGTGCATCGACTATCGCCTCCGGCTTGAAAGAAATGGATAGGTATAGCGTTAATTCGGGTAGCTTTATTTCCTGCTTTGTTTCCTACTCTTACCAGGTCATAATTCCAGAGAACAATGGCATGGAGCAGGTAACGGTTTCTCGCAGCCGCATGGTTGTGAAACATGCCTCTTCGACAAGAATTTTCAGGGGTGTTAGTTGATGTTGAAAGTCACCTTAGCGAGTCCCAGTGAATTTGAATACGATGGCATTTACATCGTGCACCAATTCGTGTGAGCTACACACACCATCCCTGGAGTAAGCTGATCTGATGCATGGGCACATGACCAAGTGAGACGGAAACGTACGTACACGTTTGTCCGAAAGACGCAGAGAATTGGTTGCAAGGAGTACAATGCGATGATCGGCGAGGATGACGTGACGAGCAGCGCTCGGTAGTATGTTACGCCAGTGAGCGCTATCTAGTACAGGTCCGAGAAAGTGCTGAAGCTTGAGGATGGTTGAGCGAATCTAGACTCAGGAACAATGCAGCTGAAGATGGAACGTCCTAACGACCTCGTCAGTGGTGTATCACTCGTGTCATCCTCCCCTCTCCCCTGAAAAGTCGCCTGATTGTGTGATGCAACCCAGTATCTGAGACAACGCGCGAACTTGCATGGAGGTTTTGAATACGGTACGCTTCTGCGCGTGACTAATTGCTCACTTCATCAATCAAAAATGATACAGGCTTGAGAATGTAGTTTGATGTACAAGTGCCCGTGTGTTCTTGAACGGTTGGTAGTATGCGGAAATAGCTAAGACAGCGCATAATCAGCCATAGTTCATACGTTGAAACAATTCGGCTAGTGCGCTCACAAAAGCATCCGTAGATACGACAAGGTTCTAGGTGAACTTTGATAGGTCGATAACAATTTGGAATAGCATTGACTTAATACTGCTTAACACCGTCATTTTCAGATCAGAGTACAAGGGTCGCGACTCACTTTGGAGAGCTCGCCTCAACACCGATGATAACGCAGAATTGCGTGTAGAGGCTTCTAGCTGACGATGTACCAGGACAATGGGTCCAGACAGACAATGCAATTGCTCGAGTCCTGTCAGATAGCCAGCCTCAGGTAGCTCACAAAGCTTTAGAAACCGTCGCTGAGGAGACCGCAATACAATCGCCAACAGGGCCTTTGGAAGTGTGGAAGTGGGAAAGCGGACGAAGTAAGGCTTGGAGAAAGCATTGTGAGACTGGACATATTGCAGCCTCCCTGTACTCTGAAAAGTCAAGAACATTATAGCATGTAGATTGTGAGCTCTCCATCTACCATAGAAGACAATGAATTACGGCAGTGCAAGTAGGTTCAAGTACCCTGACAGACATCAATGAGAGACTTACAGAATGAGACATGAACATGCACCTCTCAGAACTAAAGGATTGCGAAATATCCCGTGTTACAGCCTGATTTATGTGAGTTTTCCATCAAAAATGCAGGCTGACTGACTCAGCCGTGTAAAAGACGCATCAGGCTCGAAGTCCTGGAGACCGCGCCTCCACACACCAAATTTGTGATAATCAGACACTCCTGCGCCAAATTACTCTGTCTTAAATGGAAGCAAAAAAATTCGACATGAACGAAGGTGCTGCGAGTAATTTCACGGCCACAATCGTAATGAACGCAGGCCATGTGGCTACCATCAACGAGATCTAATTTCTTGATCGGGGACCGATCAAACTGCAAGCGTTTGTGGCTCACTTTCAACACTTTTACTTACAGAGCTATCCTATCGATTCAATATGTCTACTACTGCTCCATCTGCACCTTCACCAAAATCCGTCTTGTTCGCGCGTGGAGTGCTCGCCCGCCTCGCAATTTGGCCCGCCCTCCGCATCGCAGTCGAGCAGAGTTGGGGCGGCCCCGAGTCCGCCGAAAAGCGTACCTGGCTCGCGTCAGTCCTCGTCGATGCATTCGAGCAGGAAGACCCCGCGCCGGACGTCGATTATGTCGAGCTTACGCTGCTGCAAGTTATGGAGGACGAGTTCGACACGACGCTCGAGGACGGCAGCACTCAGAGCGTCGCGAATGACGTCGTGCAGATGTGGGAGGCGATATGTGCAGGGAGACAGGATGCGGTGACGAGGATTGAGGACCAGGCGGAGAAGCTGAAGGGCAAGCGGATGCAGGCGAAGGAGGTCATCGCGGATGAAGATGACTTGGAGGACGAGAGTAGCAGCGGTGAGGAAGGAGATGGCGATGTTCATGAGGAGAAGCCGGATGGTGAAGCACCTATGCTCATCGATCGGCAATCAAATCGAAGGCATGAAGAGCCGCAGGTGGACGAGGACGGCTTTACTGTGGTGAAAGGCAAGGGCAGAAATCATCGGTGAACACGAAGGTCGTATTTTATTTCTATCATCGAATATTCCTGAGGTTGATTCTCTGGATAGTGTTCTCCGGATCTACAGTGTATTGATCGACTACATTTAATGATATACCTCAAAAGCGGGAGTTGGTCCGCCATCGCTGCAAATGTAATGTCACAATCACCGTCTGGATGGTTAGATCGGACCACACAGCGCGAAACAGATTTTGCAGATACACGAAGGATGTTATACAATTATATGACATTACTTCGTACAGTTCATGGCATCTAGAACGCGTTTTTGAGGATGCAACAAGCAATCTACTGCACGAACGCGTAGCCCTTCTGAATGTTCTTCTTCAAACCCTCAAGCGCAACCTTGAGGAGCTCCTGCTCCTGCTCGGTGATCTGGCCAACAGGGTGGATCTTCTCAACACCGTTGGGCTAACAGCAAAAACATTAGCAATAACACCCAACGCCAATGGTAACGCAACAACTTACGCCGAGCTCGATAGGCGACGCGAAGAACTCAACGCCCTGGGAGGCGTACAACGGGCTCTTGACGTACGAGGGAATGATAACACCCTTCTCGCCAGCCAAGCCGCGGAACAGCGCGTTCGCGAACTTGGCACCCGCGTACGCCATCGAGAGAGTCGCGCTACCAGCACCGGCTTTAGCCTGGACGACCTCGTCACCACCGAACTGGACACGGTGCACGAGATTCTTGTACGCCTCGCCAGTGATGGTCTTGGCTGCAGGCGACTGAGAGAATAGTGGGACGATGGTCTCGCCAGAGTGGCCGCCGACAACGGTAATTGGGGTGTCCTTGGGGTCCTTGCCCGTGAGCGCCGCGACGAAACGCGTCGCACGCACAACGTCTAGTGCGCTGACACCGAAGATTCTCTTGGGATCGTACACGCCCGCCTTTTCGAAGACGCGAGAGGCGATGGGCACCACAGAGTTGACGGGATTGGTGATGATCAAGAAGATAGCCTTAGGCGAGACGCGTGCGACGGCCGTGGCAAGGTCACGGAGGACAGAGGCATTTGTCTAACGTAGCGCACAATACGATCATTAGGATTTCAGTAGTAGTGTGACGTAAGCGCTTACCGCGAACAAATCGTCACGGCTCATCTGCAGACGGTGTTAGCACAAATCAATATGATCAGGTTTGCAAGAAACGTACACCAGGCTACAAAACGGACAGTCAGCAACGAGTTTCTCCAAGAAAGCCGTGTCCCCATACCTTACGAGGAACGCCAGCGGGGCAGATAACAACATCCACGCCTTCAAGGGCATCGTCAAGCTTGTCCGCGGCGAAACCTTGAACCTAAATATGACGCGGAATGAGTGTCAAGACATCAGATCAACGAGGCAACAGTCGCGCACCTCGCTGCCAGTGTCAATATGGCCGACATCGGCGGCCACACCAGGCGCGCCGCGGATATCATAGAGGTTGAGCTGCTTGACATGGGGGTCGAGCTTGAGCAGGAGTGAGAGCGGTTGGCCGATACCTCCACCGGCACCGAGGACCGTGACCTTGGTCTGGCGCGCGGACGACGAGGAAAACTGGCGAGCTTGGGTAAGCGTGCGGACTGAGGAGCGTGCAAACATCATCGTCGTCGTCGTGCAGCAGTGAGGGGAACGAGGACGGGGGGAGGAGGACTGGTGGAGGCCGCGTGACTTATGAGTTTAAATGTCGGAAAACCTCGGACGGTCCCTTCCAGTATCGCCACTCTTCGCCGACGTCCCTCGGCGCGTGTCCCCGCCTGCTTGCATCTTTCGTCCGCCACTGTGCTCGTCCTGAGTGGGTGTAGACCTCGCTGGGGCCTCATGACAACAGACGTCTGAGTCGTCCACCGCGCTCACATCCGCATGGCCACGGATTTTTGGGCCAGTTCTCACTAGTGAGCGCGCAGGTCGTGGTGCAGTACCGCCTGGACTGAACAGCGTCCCTATAGCAAGCGGTGGCTGGTCGATAGAGCGACGCTCAGGCAGGCTCGCGTCGAAGACTTGCAGTATGTGGACGATCCGGAACATCTCGATTTTCTGGCTATTTTCGTTGCCAACTGTCAGTTCTCTCTGGCATATCACGCGGTGCATCCACATTGAGCTGTGGACACAGTGATCTCCAAGCTTGGCAAAAAGCTGCAGCTCAGACAGCGGGTAATAGCGACTGCGACCGTCTTCTTCCGGCGGTTCTACGCCAAGAACTCGTACTGCGAGACCGACCCATTCCTTGTCATCGCGGCCTGCTGCTATGTCGCTGCGAAGGCGGAAGAGTCACCTGTACACATCAAGAACGTCGTCTCAGAAGCGCGAATGCTCTTCAGCAGTAAGTCACGCATACACTTCGTTCGCACTACCTTTGAAGCTCATTTTAGATAAAGAGTATGGCGTAAAGTCGTTCCCTTCAGATAACTCGAAACTGGCCGAGATGGAGTTCTATCTGGTGGACGACCTCGAATGTGACTTGACGGTCTTCCACCCTTATCGCACTCTGATCACACTCTGTGGCAAGGAGGGGAGCTCTCACATGACCGAAGCAGAGGCAGGCGAAGTCGGTGCAGGCATCGACGACGGGCCAAAGTACTGGGGCACCGGCGAAGGTAAGCTGGAATTGCAGGAAGGCGCATTGCAGATGGCATGGTATGGCAATCGACTGCTAAGCCGGCGTGTAATGCTGATTCCGTTGATTGTCAGGTTCATCATCAACGATACCTACCGCTCCGAGTTGTGCCTGCTCTATCCTCCCCACCTCATTGCAATCGCCGCTATCCACCTTGCGCTCGTTCTACATTCATCGACACGGACCACATTGCAAATGCAAGCCGCATCACACGCCGGCGCTAACTTCCATGCCGGCTCCCACACCCAGTCCTTAACCGCTACTCCACCCCGACGCTCCTCGCGTTCGGCATCCGGCAACCACAAGAAGCAGCCGCAGGATATCGTCGGCTTCATGGCGGGCCTGAATGTCAGCATGCCACTCGTAGCGACGATCGCGCAGGAGATCATCTCCCTGTATGCGCTCTGGGATAGGTATAGGGAAGATCACACCGCGGACTCGGCGCGCGGCTCATTCGCGCCGACGTCGTTCGCTGGGAGTAAGCGCGCTGCGAGCGGCACGGTCAGAAGCGGTAGCGTTGCCAGCGTGGGCACGACCAGCAGCAGCGCGACGCCGTCTGCTACGGACAACAGGGATGAACAGGCCCTGCGTGCCGATCAGACTGTGACGCCGATGTTTTTGACGCATTTACTGCTTCGCATGCGCGAAGCACGATTTGCAGATATGGCACATCCTCCGAGCGGGCATCCTATTGCAGTGAATAAAATGCTTGAGAGAACGCAGGCCGCAGGGTGATCATGATATATGCGTACGTGTCATCAGGAATTGAGAGTTGGATTGCTCTAACGCGTAACTTAATTCCTTTCGTCAGTTCGGGATGTATCTAGGTTTTGTGTTGGCGTCAAGGCTTCACATGTATCGATATACGGGATCAAATTCATCGAATGTTATACACCGGTGTTTGAGCGCGTTTAACGGATTTATTTATAAACTTCTCCATCGATATGGTCTCACATTCACTCGCTTCTATCTGATAGGTTGTCCGCGTCTTGTGATTGAGATCCTGCCATCAGAGGCATCCGGCAGCTCGACCACGCTCGCAAGTCAACAGCGAGGAAGCCGTCAAGGGGAACGCTCGAATTGAAGGGCTTCACATGTCTGTCAGCATGATCGGTTCACAGTTCCGGTCCAAGCTCGTCGCACTCGGTCGTCGGCCTCTGCAGCACTCGGAATAACCTGGACTGTCCCTAAGGTTGATCATGGCCACTCTGCCGGCGCTTTCAGCGATCAGCGGCGCATATTGCTTGGGTCGCAGAGCTTGTCGTGGGACTTGCTTTCATCTCAGAGCTTGACAAGCTTTCTTTCCGTGACACCCACCTTAGTGGAGAGCGCAGGATGATCGCATGGCTACCCACTGCAGGAGCTGCATCCGGGTCCGACTGCGCATGGCACACCACATTGGAAATGTCTCAAGCTGAGGGTGGACCTTCAGCAAGGCCATCATCGCTAGGTTTACAGTTGCTTCTCACAGACTGTATGGACGTGCAGGAGGCACGGACTGTCACGATCTTTGTGTAAGCCAACGGAGCCCAGTCGGACATATGAGCGCAGGGAGTCTTGACTGCTCGGTGAGATTGCCCCTTCTTGCCACAAAAACCATCCATTTTTCTGCAGGCCGCGAAGTTGGACGAAGGATGGTCATCGATCATCTCCGACTAGTGTTATGCGCAGCGTTATGTGGCACTTGCTCGGAGGGCCGCCTCATGCCAGCAAACCAAAGGCCAGCCCGATGAGTGGCGACGATACAGACACCATCTAGCTTAAGTCATCATTAGGCTCGTTCTCGGTATGAGTGAATATTGGTTCGTTCTGGAATGCCGCCTGACTGCAAGCGCCTCTGCCAGCGTTAAGTATTGACACATCGTCATATAACGGTCGCAACAGCACATTTTCCTGTCCCTCTTCCTTTCCCCCACTGCGTTCGAGTACTTGATCTCCTTTGCACTATCGCTTGTTGCTGGAAACCCTCTCAACCATCGTATTGGCTCGTCGGACTCTTCTGTTACCACACTCGCCTTCAAAAGTCCAAATTGACTACATCTCAAAGTCTCAGGCTCCGGGCTGATGCTCTTGCACCATAATGCCATCTACACAGATTGGTGTACGTCCGTGAACCCCGGTCTTAGCTCATCTCACTCCGGGTCCGTTGATCGCTCCGAAAAGTAGGCTTTCAATACGGAAGCGTACAGGTCAATCATTCTGCGATCAAGAAGCGCGTCCGAAGCTGACATCGCCACATCCAAACTCGGAATGCTTTGTGTTGCAAACCTTTGGAGAGCCGTGCTATCACCAACTTGATCTCGACTCAAGCGGGCCCGAGCGAGGCTTGGATCAAACAGAGGAGGACTTTTACTTATCACTGACGGGCCCGCTGTCGAAAGACGTTCTAGACGCGATAGAAGAATCATACAAACGACGGCGGGAAACTCACCATAAGGAAAATCAAACATCGTTCATTTGCGGCGTGCATATTTGAAACGCCATACGGCTTTATAAGCTTGATTGGTGCTCCAAGACATTGTGCTGAGATTTTTCCAGGGTGTCCGCCCACCACAGCGCGAGCAACGTACAAAGATATTCCGATCAAGACCAGCCACAAGCTCAGCTGAGGTGAACGTGGCGGCTCACATTGCATCAAAATCGATATGCGCACAATCACGACGCCTGATGAGATTGCGGAACGGCAATCTGAACATTGCTTCTTTGATGCTTGATCGGCCTCGCCACTGCGGCGGAGTAGGCAAATGCTATAAATGTGTGAAGCAATTTCATCAACCTTAGGTACACCCCACCTCACTTTTCCCATCGACACTGCGTCCTCCCTCTTGGATTGAGCTTTGCCTGGACAGAGATGACATCCATCGCGCTAATGTGAGTCTGCGACGGGGTTTTGGATGCGAGTACTTAATGGGGTTGTGCGGGCAGAGCGGGGCCGCAGGTCAGTTGTGATCTGCTGGAGAGTCGCCGAGGAACGGTTTCGCGCTGACAGGCTAGAGACAGTTTCTAGGAATTTGCTTCAACTGGGCACTGTTGGGGCTGCTGAACTTGCAAGTCTGTGAGTGATATAGTCATAGACCGATTGGCACGAAGCTAAGAAAATTCGTCCGGAATGTCTCCCGTAGATCTGTACTATGAATACTTCCCCAAAGATCCATGGTTCTTGAAATGCTTAGGTGCGAATCACAGGAATGTATCCGTCATCGCCGGACAGACTCATACATTGTGCGTAGCATACGGCATGCTCATCTACGAATGGGTCCAGACCGGCCTGCTCACGGGGGCTGCGATGAGCATTTACGTCTATGGCTACGGCGACGTGAAGGACCTGCTCGAGTTCCACAACACGTGGTTCTCCGCGACCATGATGTGCGGCATCATCTCGGCCACTGTGCAGATATTCTTCGCGTGGAGGATCTATAAGCTCTCAAGGTCGCGCGTCCTGGCGGGCGTCATTGTCGTGGTGCGTTGATTTATTGTGACGAAGAAGGTCGGTATGTGCTGATATGCTGAGTTGCAGCTCGCCGTTCTGCAGTGCGTCGCGTCTCTCGTGGGCGGCGCATACGTGAGTTGTGTATTCTCGACCGGGCACAGCATAGCTCAACCTATGAAATAGGAGAAGTCGATCGGCATAGCTTCTGCCCTCGAAGGCAGTCTCCTAAAGGCTGTGGTCGTAAGTCGTCTGCCTCTGAGACGGGCCTCAGCAATTAATTGCTCGAAGCTCTGGCTGTCAGCAAGTGCGCTCGTGGACATTTTGATCGCCGTTTCAATGACAATCCTGGTGCGAACTGCTGATAATTGTTCGCGGAGCTGCGCCCCGGTTGCTGATCTTGCATATGTGCAGCTACTCAAAAGCAAGACAGGGATAAAATCCACCGATGCGTTCATCAACCGTATGATCCGGCTTGTCGTGGAGACAGGCACACTGACTGGTATGTACACCTTGTTTCCATGATGCCATCCGGTCTGATGGAGTTGTATACAGCGAGTTTGTCCATCATCGTGTTGATCACTGCAAATATCAAGCCGGTAAGTCGCTCCATACAGATACGGCGGTTCCATAGCGAATTAATCTGCGGGCAGCTGCATGAAACATTAGTCTACGAAGCGCCGTGAGTGCCTGATTTATGTAGCTTGCCAGCTCAAGCCCTTACGACGTCTTCCCAGCGCACTGATACTGACGAAGATGTACGTGGTCTGCTATCACTGTTTCGTTCGTTTCCCCAATCCACGTCCAAAGGTACTCCAATACATTTCTGACAAATTTAAATAACCGCGAGTTCATACGGAGACGAGATGCGACCGTGGTTGAGCTCGCACCGATGAGTGAGCTGCAGTTCGCACAGAATGTCACTGCCCAACGCGTCGAAATCTCCACACGACCTGGGATGGAGTCATCGACGAGTGATGCTGCGAGCGTGGCCTTTGTGCGGAAGGGATTTGCGTTGGGCTCGCCGCTTACGGAGGATCTTTCCGTACGTATCCGAGAACTGCGAGCACCATGTGATGGTTTGATAATTTTCTCGCAGAGCGTTCTCGAGGCACAAACCAAGCGTCCTGCCCGGCGAAATTCGGTCGTCTGAAAGCTTAGTTGAGAGTCGGCGAAGTTGGTACACGGAATAGTTGGAACGCTGTTGCGCTTCAGAGATACATACGGCGAGTGATTCGGGATGTATTTTTGCTGTTTTTTTTTCATATCCATGGGACGGTCCATATACACACCGAAGGTAGCATGCTCAATGTGATATTTTCTTCATGACAAGTAGACTGAGTGAGCACCCCCTGCCGAAAGCAAACGAAGAAGGTCTGAATCCGGACGTGCGACTGGAGAACAACGGCTTGAAACGGCCCGGAAACGGCCCGGAGAACCGTGCCGTGAAAGACGAGCCTTATGCAGCACTATAGCCTCTGTCCGGTACTCCATGACAGGCTCAGAGTGGCAAAGATAGCTTGCACCATTACATCAGAAGGGCAAACAATTCCTGTCAGCTTGTTCCCTTGAAGACACAGTCTCCTAAGGGATGATGCCCTTGCACCAGAAATACAGACCGGTGTATATACATCAGTGGACCCGGGTCTCAGTTCTGGTTCCCCAAAGGTCTGGCCTTCATCCACACAGGGTCTGTTGATCGCTCCGACCTTGTGGCAATACGAATCAATCATTCTGCGATCACGAACTTCAGCGTCCGAAACTGACATGGGCGCATCCAGACTCGGAGCGCTTTGTACTGCAAACGTTCGGAGAGCCGTGCTACCACCGACTCTTATATGGGCTCAAGCGGGCCCGACTGAGGCTTGGATCAAACTGGACATGGCTTTGATCACTGATGGGAACGATGCCCGCTGGTATAAGACGTTATAAGGACGATAGAAGGACTCTCATACAGACAACGGGGAAAACTCGCTACACGGAAGATCAATCATCGTTCAAACTTCATTTGCGCCGGGCGCATTCAAAACGCCGTGCGGCTTTATATAGCTTGATTGACGCTCCAAGACATTGTGCTGATATTTTTTCTAGGGTATCCGCCCACCAGTGACCACAGCGCGAGCAACGTACTACAAAGATATTCCATCAATCCCAGTCACAAGCTCAGCTGAGGTGAACGTGGCAGCTAACGTTCACCAAAATTCATACATGCATAATCACAACATCTGATGACATCGCAGATGGCAGTTTGAACATCGCTTGCTTCTACGATGCTTGATTGGCATTGCCACCGCAGCACAGCAGGCAAATGCTACAAACGTGTGAAGCAGTGTGCACCCTTGGGTACAGCCCCGCCTCGCTTTTTCCATCGACATTGCATCCTCGTCGGATTGTGCTTTGCCTAGGCAGAGATGACTTCCGTATGCTAATGTGAGTCTGCGATGGGGCTTTGGATGCGAGTGCTTTATGAGGTTGGGCGGCCAGAGCGGGGCCGCAGGTCAGTTGAGATCTGTTGGCGGGATCTCCGAGGAAGTTTCGCGCTAACAAACTAGAGCTAGTTTCTAGGAGTTTGCTTCAACTGGGCGTTGTTGGGGCTGCTGAACTTGCAAGTCTGTGAGTGATATAGTCATAGACCGATTGGCACGAGACTAAGGGAAATGTCTCCCGCAGATTTGTACTATGACTACTTCCCCAAGGATCGATGGTACCTCAAATGCTTAGGTACGAAATTCAGGAATGTATCCGTCACGGCTCATATATTGTTCGTAGCATACGGCATGCTCATCTTTGAATGGGTCCAGACCGGCCTGCTCACGGAGACTGCGATGAGCATTTACGTCTACGGCTACGACGACGTGAAGGACCTGCTCGAGTTCCACAATACGTGGTTCTCGGCGACGATGATGTGCGGCATCATCTCGGCCACTGTGCAGATATTTCTCGCGTGGAGGATATATAAGCTCTCAACGTCGCGCGTGGTGGCGGGAATCATTGTCGTGGTGCGTTGATTCGCTGTGATGCGGAAGGTTGGTATGTGATTATTGAGTTTCAGCTCGCTGTTCTGCAGTGTGTCACGTCTCTCATGAGTGGCGCGGTTGTGAGTTTTGTTTTTACTACCAGACACAGCATAGTCTAATCCTATGAAATAGGAGAAGTCGGCCCGCATAGCTGCTGCGTTCGACAACAATGTTATTGTCGTAAGTCAGCTGCCTCTGCGACGAACTTCAGAGATTCACTGCTCGAAGGTCTGGCTGGTCGCAAGCGCGGTCGTGGACATTTTGATCGCCGTATCGATGACGATCCTGGTGCGCACTACTGATAATTGCTTGCGAAGCTGCACACCCAGTTGCTTATCTCGCATATGTGCAGCTACTTAAGAACAAGACGGGAATCAAATCCACCGACGCAATCATCAACGGATTGGTCCGGCTTGTCGTGGAGACAGGCACACTGACTGGTTCATGCACCTTGTTTTCCATAATGTTATTCGCTTTCATGAAGTTGTGTACAGCGAGTTTAGCTATCATCGTGTTGATCACTGCAAGTGTCAAGCCAGTAAGTCGCTGGAGCCAAATACGGCGGTTCCATAGCGAGCTAATCTGTGGGCAGTGGCATGACACATTAGTCTATGAAGCACCGTGAGTGCCTGATTTATGTAGCTCGCCAGCCTAAGCCCTTATGACTTTTCTCAGCGCAATGCTATTGACGAAAATGTACGTGATCTGCTGTCTCTGTTGAATTCGTTCCCTCAAACCACATCCAAAGGTACTCCAATACGTTTCTGACAAATTTAAACAGCCGCGAGTTCATACGGAGACGAGATGCGGCTATGATCGAGCTCGCGCCGAAGAGTGAACTGCAGTTCGCACAGAATGTCACTGTCCACCGCGTCGAAATCTCCACACCACCTGGGATGGAGTCTTCGACGAGTGATGCTGCGAGCGTGGCCTTCGAGGGAGCGTTGGGCTCGCTGCTTACGAGGAATCTTTCCGTACGTGTCCGAGAACTGCGAGCGCCACGTTATGGCTTGATAATTATCCCCTAGATCGTTTTCGAGGCACAGACCAAGCGTCCTGCCCGGCGATATTCAGTCATCTGAAAGCTTAAGCGAGACTCGGCATTGGCACATGGTACAGTTGAAACGCTGTTGCGCTCCAGAGATGCGCGTGGCGAGTGATTTCGGGATATTTATTTGCTGTGTTTTTCCATATCCACAGGACGGTCCATATACATACCGACGGTAGCATGCTCAATGTAATATTATTAGTAATCTTCATGACAAGTAGGCTGAGCCGGCTTGTAGCCTTTCTACTGCATCCCATGGCTGACAGAACGACATGAGTTGTCATGCACAACAGAGGGCCGCTCTATAGGCGAGCTGCAACCACAAATATGCTAGATTCAAAAACGCAGGCAGCATAACCGACTGATATACAATGTACATAAACATCTGTATGAATATTAGACATCGAAAAATAAATTGAGCGCTGTGTGTTAGAAAATATTCCAAATGACCCTTAGAATGTGAGAAGCCAGCGTTTCTATTGACCGTAATGCTACACTCATTCTAGTCGGCGCACGCGCAACGGGAGTCTCGTACCCTCCTCCCCCTCAATACGTGGCCGGGGGAGAATGCCCCGTACGAGGTCAATCTTCGTCTCCGGACCGTCCTTGAAGTCAAACGCATAGTTCCTTATCAGAACGCTCAGCACCGCCTGCACGAACAATCTTCATGATAAGCAGCAGTTGCGCCACACCAAGTAGCGCCACTGACCTTGAACTCAGCCAGCGCGAACCCGCGCCCCAGACACATCCGGGGGCCGTCAACGAAAGTCAGCAGGTGACGATGTCCCTGAATTTCCTGCGCGCGCATTGGGATGCCGTCCTCGTTGAGCCAGCGCTCGGGCCGGAATTCCTTAGCGTCGGGGCCCCACAGTGCCTTGGCAGTGTTCATGCATTGGATGGGCACGGTGACGAGCTGCCCCTTGGTAATGGCGACGCGGTCAACGATCTCGCCGGATGGAGTCGTCATAAGAGTTGAAAGCGGGAATATGGTATCTTCAGCGGCCTGGAGAACTGTATTAGGACAAGCATACATGAAAAGAGTGCTCAACGTACGACACGGGTAGTCTCTCTCACCGGAGGGTGCAGACGCAGCGTTTCATGGACAACAGCGTCCAGAAAGGGCATGTTGTAGGTGAGCTGGTCCCAGGTGGGGTCTCCGCCTGCGAAATTAGATACCTCCTCGCGGAGCTTCTGCTGAACATCGGGCCTCTTGCACAGCTCGACCAGGCACCACTGCATCACTCGCCATCACCTTCGGCTGTTGGAACATTCAATGTACGACTCACGCTTAGACAGACTGAAACATCGCGATGATGTTAGTGTTAGAGATTAGACTCAAGCTCATGAAGGTGTATCGCGACTCGCTTGATGTTGTTTCATAGCCGGCGATGATAAGAACCTTCATCTACGGGGAGGTCATGTTAATAGCTGACTCGCGAGGAGAGAAATATACGCACCTGCGCCATCACCTCTTCTTGTGATAGGCTCAAATCGGAATCGCTGTTCTCCGCCTTAACTGTTCGGTATCATATCTCAACATCGCACATTAAATGGCTGGCCGCAACAGCACGATGCTCACTCAAAAGCCCAATGATACTCTTCTCCTCAGTCTTATTCTCACCCTTACTCTCTCTTCGTGTATTCTCCAGCATATCTTGCGCGATTTCTCCCATGCTGTCATTCAACCGCTTTATGAGCATCCAAAATGGCGTAGGCACTTTGGCGAGCACGGGGAAGGCGAGTCCGAGGATGAAAGTGGATGCGATGATGAGCGAGGGCTTGACATGTCCGAACGCCTCGAACGTCTCGGCAACAGTTGAGCGCTTTCCGTGCAAGGTGCCGAAGTCGTGAGAGAAGCCTGCGATACCGACACTATCTAGGCTATTGGGGTGTAAAGAGCAAAATCAACGTTGTTTCCACAGATCAGGAAATCCAGCGCATAAATGTTTGCGCATCTCGAACTTACGATACATGGTTCATCCTGAATTTGAGCAGCTCAATGACTAGACTTACATGTTTTTTGCAGGACGAGACGAACCAATTCTGCACATCAATAATCGCCGAATCACCAGATTGAGATTCTATGATATTGTCCCACGCAGTTTTCACCTGGACGCAACTGTCAACTAAGCTTAATTGCTACTTGATTGTTTGCGAACCTTATATCCAGAGTCAAAGAATACGGATGTAAGTCTTCGGATAGCAGCATTGCTGAATGCTGGAGACAATGCCTTCCTTTGCCTGAAGTATCCCAAGTTTCACATAAAATCTGCAGTTGGCTTCGGAAGACTGTTACCTCTTGTGACTATCGCCTTCGGCCCATATCACTCCGCGTCCGACCTGCGAATGACGTCCACCGGTGTAAACGACTGTTTTTCGCGAAATATACAGCAAACCACGCACAATATTCTCGATTGTTTGCTTGGTTAAAGCTGTCTGGACAAAGCCGTAAGTTTCTCTGGCGTAGAAGTGACTGACGGCCTTTGGGTCGCATAGAACGACACGGCTAAATCCCATGGCGGCTGGAACATGGTAGACGGGTCCATATTCCTCCGCCCACTGCTCATATATGGCTGCGGCATCTTTAGACTTTCCAATGTATCTGCTCAAGCCAAAGAATAGGTTAATATTAGGGGGCCCGGTGAGGGGGGTGGCGCGTGCGCTGCGGTAGCGGCGGCGGAGATACAGTAGAGAGTTGTATGTGATCCAAACCACGCTCAGTCCGAGGAGGATGTTAATTATCGTGATTTCTTTCATGTCGAACATGGTGGTTGAGAGAGAGATCAATTTGCATACTGACTCAGTTATATATACGTCTATCGACACGCATCTGGCTCACCTGCGCATTCTCCACCGCGGCTCGCAGTGGCCGACTCGGACCGTCCAGTCAGCTTGTGTGAGCAATTCACACGACTTGCCTTTCTGGGAGTATGGTCACTCGTGTTACACATCACGTTACCATTTCGATCGGATCTGAGTGGCGGCCAATATTGCGGCTCATCCAACACTTTCACCCTTGTACTACCGCCATGCCTCCCAGACTCAGCAAACGACAGCTCAGAGAACAAGAAGCGCTTGCCGCGCTCGCAGAAAATCAGCCAGAAAATCCATCAGATCAAGACAGCGGCGCTGAGCTCCCAGTTGCCGGGAAGAGCACTGGTTTTGCGTCGGTCAGTGCCTGATGCCGGGGCACTTACGTCGCCTTTCGTGCCGTTTGCTCACAAATTTACCCACAGCTCATGATACAAGCTGACTCTGCCGAGGATAGCGGAGATGATGTTCCGTTACGCGCACCGAAATCCAACAAGGCTCGTAAGCCTCTCCTACTCATCTCGTTGTGCGCGGGCATGTAACTGATCTTCATGCAGAAGAAGAAGAAAAAGAAGCGCCTCATCTCAGCTACTCCTGCTGAGAGTACTCCATCAGCTGCAGTCATACTTCCAGTTGCGCCGGCTAGCCCAGCCCCACAGACGCCGCGTGGTCATCAGCAACCCACTCCCGCACCCTCCAGCTCGAAGGAGAAAAAGGCTCTTAAGAAGCGAAAGGGAAAAGAGAAGAAAGACGACCGAGATGAAGTAGACAAAGCCCTTGAGGAGCTTTCCCTCAAGTATCCCGATCTCCAGCAAGTCGTCGCCTTCAATGGCACCACCTCCGCTACACGCGATGCCACCAGCACCCTCGCCTTGCTTCTCTCAGTCTCCTTGCAGCATCTCGATAGCGAAGCCGAGATGCGCAAGTTCTTCGGCGCCAAGGTCATTTCCGCCGCTAAGTCGTCAAATCGCGTGCCCTCCACGTCCAATCGAACGCCTGCAATCAAATCGAACCTCACACGCCCTCAACCGACATGGTGGCCGGCACGCTTCCGTGAGGGGCTGTCATCGCGATTATTGACGGAGGAGGAAAATGCCGCTATGCTGGCGCGGCACCATTGGAAGGAATTACCTGGAGAGCGGTTTTGGACAGTGGAGTACAGTAAGAAGTATCGGGGGTTCACATGGCGGTTCATGCAGACGGTGATGTCTGGAGGTAAGTGGGCTGCATCATGTTGTCAGAACAGGGCATTTAGGGCATTTCATCAGATCCTAATGGCTTTAACGCTGTCCTTCGGGAATTCCCGTATCATGCGGACACGCTGTTGCAGATGTCCGAGGTGTTATACCATCGCGAAGGTGCGTCAGAACAGTATATTCCTTACCGACCATGTCGATTGAGGCTGGTCATAGAATATAGCGAGGCTGCGGATCTCATCGATCGAGCGCTGTTCACATACGAACGCGCTTTCATCGGGTCGTTCAGCTTCACGACAGGAATGAATAGGCTGGACTTTGATCGCGTAGAGAACCGTCCATTCTTCCTCGCGATTCACCGGCAGATCAAGTATGCACCTTATCGCTCCCTATCTCGTAAGATATACACGGTGCTTAACTTCGGCCATTGCGTAGCGACCTTCAGCGTAGGGGTTGCGTTCGCACTGCCTTCGAGTTCGCCCGCCTGCTCTACTCGCTTGATCCTTGGACCGACCCGCACGGTGCCGTCCTGTATCTCGATTACCTCGCGATGAAGGCGGGGATGGGTCAATGGCTACTAGACCTGTGGGAGTTCTTTACATCGCAGGCCGGTGCAGGGATACTTCAAAACAGACTGCAGGCAACGGCAGTGCCTGGATGGTCGTATGCGCGTGCCTTGGCGCTGTGGATGCGAGAAAATGATAAGGGCGAGGTAATGTACTATGATCAAGTCTAAATCTAATCTCTGATGGGTTCTCGGATGCTAGGGCCATGAGCCAAGCACGCAGGCGCTGCAGGATGCGATACTCGCATTTCCTTCGGTGGTGCCTCTCTTGGCGGACAAGGCCGACATCTTTATATCTGCTGATGCACGCCAACGACCTGCGTTCCGGATCCACGCAGATGCCAGGTGAGTGGTCCGCAGCTCATCAATACTGTCACAACTGACGGCAAGTTGGTGTTAGTCATCTCAATGCAACAGGTGCCATCGTCCACCTCCTCTCACACCTCTACGCCCAGCGCTCCGCTTCCCTCTGGAAAGCTGTCCCCATCGCCTCCTGGTTCGCCGCCACCGTCAGCAGCACGCTCTCATCCCTTCCTGCATCACACGATAACACCACCGCACTCTACCGCGCATTCGCCGCCCTCGCCGCCCAGCCCGCGATTGTGCACTCCATCTACCGGCACGTCATCGTGCTCGAGGCGTCGTTCCGGGGTTTGTTCAGCTTTGTCCCGCGAGAGGTGCTACAAGCGCGGAGCGTCGCTTGTGACCCGCTCCCGCCACCAACGAGCGTCAGCGCATACGACACTGAGTACTTCAAAGGCGCAGCAGATGCGCTGCGCCCAAGTAGAAGACAGGAGGAGCGGGCGCTGGAGCGCTTGGTGCCCGATGCGCTAATACGTGGACAATTGTTGGTGCGTCGGTTCGCAGTGTCTGGCTTTCTTGGCGGGCTGCTCACTGTAGCTTCTCTTACAGGACTTCTTCAGGGAACGGCCGGGAATCGCGGCACAGTTCCCGGGCGGCATCCTGCAATTCCTGCAGGAGGTGGCTCAGAACCCAAACATCATGGAAGAACTTGTGCTTGATGAGATACATCAGGATATGAGGGATGCTGGGGCAATGCCTGGGATGTTCTTCGAGGAGGCAGATGACGAACCGGACCTGGCGATTCATGCGGAAGAGCAGCAACAGGCAGAGGACAGAGAGGAAGAAGAAGAAGACGATGAAGACGAGGAGCCGGCAGCAGTGAGTTGCGTTCATGCATGCTGCATTCACTTTGCTCACGACTCGACAAATGGGACAGGCCTTACCTGTGCGCATGCTGCAGAACTTCGTGAACAGGATCAATAGATTCTGGGGAGGTGGTGATGCCGGTGATGCTGAGGAGTCATCCGAGAATGAAGAGGAGGAATTAGCACCGCCCGCCGATGATGTCGATTGAAATGAAGAATTGGCTATGCTAAGACGACGTATCGTAGCGTAGCAGAATCGCTCCATAGCGTATTCTTGGAGATGATATGCAGTCGCCTGAACATGTAGGCATATTGGTATGCGCAATTAATAGACACAACTGTTAGAAGCCGTGTACGTTGAGCTATAGCTGCTGGAGCTCTTCACTGCCCTCAAGATGAAAGGGGGAGGGGGAGTGTCCAAGAACTCGCCGGTGGGATGGTCTAGTCGGATTGCTGTGCCTTCTCGAGCGGATAAAGCCTCTTGTACACACCATCCTTCTCCTCTTTCGAGAGGTTGAAACTGATGTCGACGTATGGCCGGAGCTGCTTGCAGCTAGATGAGTAACTAGATGAGACAATATGATCTCGCGGCGCACTTTGGTGTTTTTGATGTCCTCAATCGACGGTGCTACAAAGACACGGACCTTCTCATCAACAAGGCGGTACTTTGCCTTTCCTCTAACGACGTGTTTGCCTGGTGCACCTGTTCGGTGTCCTCCGGGGAGGAAGGCCTGTCCAGTGCCTGAGGCGGAACGACCGGAATGACCGATTGCGCTACGGAACGAAGAAGACGGTGCGTACCTTTGTAGAAATCCTTGTTACCCCTCTTCGAGGTGAGCGGCCGGCGAGAGGCCTTGGAAAGCCTGGCGAGCGTTGGGAACATTGCGGACGAGCAAAAGCAAGGGCGCGGTCACGATCGTTGTGCGTTAGGCTGGGGTTCTCACGCTCTTCGACCTCCTCCGCCACTACCATGGGCAAGAAGAACGCCTTTCGTCCTCGCTCCAATGCTCGACACGGTTATGGCCCAGGTCATTCAGGGAGAGGAAGAGGATCTGCGCAACTAAGAAGTCATGTAAACGCGGAGATCGACGAGCGGCGGCCTGAGAGTGCTGTGGATGTTGAGGAAGACGGTTCGTCTGCTGAAGAGGGTGAAGAAGGCGGGGAGAGTCCTTCTACTGAGGATGAGGAGAGCGGGCCAGGTGCGTCGTTATGACGTCCGCTGTGGACAGTTTATCTTATTGATGTCTATAGAGATCGAAATAAATGTTCCTGTCGCAATGTGGGTGCGTGCGGCTTGACTGTGCGCGTACACTTTTTCAAACAGAACGCAGGATTTCGACCAGTGCGACCCTCGTCGCTGCTCAGGAAAACGACTAGCACGGCTGGGACTAATCAAAGAGCTCAGAATCGGTCAACGGTTCAGAGGTATTGTCGTATCGTGCGTTCGCCACTTTATACTTTTTCCATCATCAACTGCTGGTAATAACGTTGCGTTAGTCCCAAAGGTAGACAAATTGTTAGCCCAGCGGACCGCGAGCTTGTTTTGCAAAGTGGCATAGCGGTCGTTGAATGTTCATGGGCTCGGCTGGAGGACGTCCCTTTCGGCAAGATTGCAAGTCCACATGAACGACTTCGTGAGCATACGCTGGCCTTATATATCGCTCGTATTTCCTGAGACATTTGACATTCATTGTGTGCCGCTTAGTTCCATACCTGGTGGCCGCAAATCCGGTCAACTACGGCAAGCCATGGAGATTAAACTGCGTAGAAGCGATCGCAGCCGCATTCTATATCACAGGGCTTGACGACTACGCAAACCACCTTATGAGCAAGTTTGGCTGGGGTTCGGCATTCTGGGATATCAACAAGTTCGTATTGCACGTCCCTGCCTATGATTATTCTATGCTGATCTCGCAAGCAGATCCTTTTTTGAACAATATCGTACTTGCAGCTCAGCTGATGATATCGAGGCAATGCAGAACAAAATCATGCAAGATCTCGAAGCTTCGTATCAACAGTCGCGGAGCGAAGGGGCATCTGGTGAGTGCTATCATAAAACGTCTTGTGTTTTCAGTACGTTGACGATATCTAAGCATATGGAGATGACCTTCTGGTGGAGAATCCAAATCATCAAGCTGTCATCAGCTGATGGACTGTCCCCCGCGATCAATTACATTCGTGTCGAATATGCGTCAACGAAGCCTATACATCTCTATATAGAGAGGCAGCAAAGCACGTGTTGTACAATTTGGCGGGTTGTGAGTAGGATATCTGACGTGATGGTACTAGATGAGCGCGAGATGGAAAGTGGTGCGTATATATGCTTCGTAGCACATCTAGACAAAGTCCTTGTTGGAATGAGTATTGTGGCCCCAACACCATTGACCACGGGCCTTCGTTGAGATAGATCTGATCGATCTCAGATCTGTCTATCAAGCCGAGAAAGTCGACCCAAGGATTGTCTGCACGATCTACCTTTCATTTTCTCTCTCTCTCCCCGAGCTGGCGACTATTCCGACAGCAGCTTGAGCTCGCGGCTGTCTCAGCTTCCTGTGCGAGGCTTGAGTGCCTTGTCTAGTCATTCGAATCGCTAAGATGCCTGCCGTGCAAAGCTCGAACAGCCGCAAATCTGTCTCCGGTAGAAGCCACCGGTTCCGAAGTGCGACCGAAACAAGAGAACCTGAAGGCAGAAGATGACAACACTTTGGTTGAAGGTGTGCAAATAGAGTATCAGAATCAGTCCACGCGTGCTCATCTTACCTTTTGCAGCCTTGACCGCACTGCGCAATCAGCTTACTGTGAAGCACGACGAGCCGCTTATCTCCGAGTGACAGTCGCCTGCTGTTAATGAAGTCATCGCTCGAACTCTCTCCTGGCGCGCAGGATCTGTTTGCCCTTTGGGAGGCAGCCAACGCGGTGAGTACGTTCTCGGTTTTGCCGCCTATTTGTCATCCTGAATATTGTACCTGTACAGCGACAGTTCTCGCTTCTTGTATCAATCGTTAGCGTGCTGTCATCGACGCTCGTTCTCCTCTCCTCGCATTATACGTACCACGCGCTTGCCGATCCAATCGTTCGCTCTACGTTATCCTCGCAACGGGCACCTCGATTGAACACATACCTGGGAGGTTCTCATACCGAGCTTTTGCTAGTTACGTTGGAGCTGTTCTTGAGCCTGTGAGATTTCGCCGGTGACAGAGAGCGCAAGACCGTGATTGACGTGTTTGCTTGGGAGACCAAGGTGCATGCATATGCAATAATCCGCATGGGTCAATTTATTTTTTTTTGCATTAGTCTCTACCAAGACTTCTATACATGAGACGTAAGAACGGGGTCGACCGGAGTGTTGACATTTTGACCAGACCTGGTATGTCGTCTGATTAGCTCACGGTGAGGTTCTCCTGCTAACAATTCTGCTGCCAGATATCCGCACGCTATTCATCTTGTTCCTCATGTCTTTCGTCGATAGCACGACCTGCAGTGCGGTGAAGACCACTATTTTAGAACAGCACCGCGAGATTTTTGCGCTGCTGTTCAAAAGTCTGTGGCAAGATCGATGTTCCGTCGTCCGCCATGTACCGGAAGTATGCTGGGTTGGAATCTGGTCGGATGTGAAAGTCAGAAGAATGCACAAGATTGCCTTGTTTAATGAGGCGTTTCTGGCGCAGATAAGAAACTGCCATCAGTTCCCATTGTTTTTAGTGCTCAAGTCTTGCTTAGCTCATGCGGCTCTGTGAACGTGACACCGCCGAAGACGAGGATCCAGAACATATATCAGGCGACGTCGTCCATCATTTCTTGCTGGCGATCTGTACACACCCATGGGTGGGCGTTTGTTTCCAAGACCGAGGCTGGTATCCTCGCGAGGTAGACCCTGACGAAAATCCACACCGCAAAGACGAGGAGCGCGAAGATTTTGCGGTCCGCAGAGGAGGCAGAGTGTACAACAAGATCTTGGCGCAAATGATCAGAAACTTGAAGGTCAATGAGGATGCTAGGCAGCAAGAACTCGCGATAAAGATCCTAGCCGCCTGCCCTGAGCTCATTGCTCGGTGAAGTTTGGTTATATTCTTTGTGTATCTGTGACATGCTGACTGTCCCGTAGATACTGGTCATCGCCGATCATCGCATTGGAGCCGCGGCTGTCATCTAAGTGGATAGCCGACATCGCATTCTACGGCTCGGTTATTTCTTTGCCTATTCCAGAGTCATCACTCCTCCTTCAGGACCATGACCGTCCTCTGTGCAACCCAGTGCCACCTCCTCTCTTTACCATCGTTGACAACGTCCTACCTTCGACGAATATCAAGACCCGTTTCTCCCGCGGTTTGCAGGCGAACTCGCCACTTGTTCAGCACTGCAGCGCTTTGGCACTTGTGAAATGTCTTCTGAAGTTCGAAGCCGTGTTGCGTACATTCGAGCGGGTAGCGAATTCATTGGAGGAGGAAGAGGAAGGCCAATGGAGGAGACGGCTGCACGAGGTGGAAAGGGAAATCCGTAAGAGGGTGCCGGATTTTCAGGTGGTCGTGAGTTTCGCTCAGAAGACGTTGAGTGATGCAGCGACGAGCAGTGGACAGCCATCGGACCAGAATTCTAAGGCGAATCCAATGAGAGCGACTCTGCTCTCGGAAAGTGCCCAGCGGCTTCTTCGGCTCGACCATCGCTGCCTCCCTTTCTTGGTAGCAGAGGCCCGTTTTGACGTAGGTAAGCTGCTCACTGGCATACAGAGCGCTATGTTGTCATCCGGAAGCTCGCCTGTAAATACCGTCGTTGGAATGGAGGTTCTGCGCCAGCTGCATGTGTTCAGGTTACTAGACGAGAGCGATCAATTCGGTTGGTCAGGACGTGCTAGTGGTGAGTGCTCATCACATGTGACTTGTTTCAGGCCTCATCATCTTGACAGGCTCGCTGCATACCAATTTCTGGACGTTGTTGAAGATCTATGCGGCCAATGAGAGCTGTACTATTCGGGCCGCCATAGCAACCTTGCTCGAGCGATCCTTGTCGAATAGCTCGCTATTCCAGCACGATGCGACGAGATCGCCCTTTGGCTAGACTCCCTTCCATCCACAGTGCGTTCTGAAAACGCGAAAGTACCGGATGGGGCTCCCTTGATAGACGAAAGTATTGCCGTATTGCCGTCATTATGTTCTTGGACGATTGTGCTCAACAGTGCGTCAAAAATTCACACCGATACCTGGAAGATTTACAGGTACTTTCGTCCGCACAGCGAGCGAGCGACACAGATTTTCGAGAAGACTTCGGCAGGCATTCACAGGCGTACAACGATATGCCTAGTCCCCTGCTCATGACTCTGCGGGAACAGTACATGTCACAACTGCACACTGAGACGCCCTCGTTATCAGATGCGCTGGCGGTCATCACATTTATTCGCAAGCTAGTTGTGTGACTGTCGAGAAATTTGCGCAACGACACTATCCTCGTCAACTTCATATACAATTTCACTGAAGCCGTCTAACTGCATCACCTCTTCCTCAATATCTGTACATGTTGCTCGGTATCCGTCGCGAATTAGCTCACCTCCAGATTTGCCTTCAACTGTGAGAGGACGTCATTATCTCGGGCGCGAGCAGTCCGGCTGTCCTTCGATTGTTCTCGCAGGTGAAAAACATGCCTTTGCATATGTAAACGTTATCATTTGTCCATCGGTGTCATTACTGATGAGGGCGCTTCTTCTATCAGCTGAAACTGAAGCTAATCGAAGATTGTCCACATATGAGCTGATAGATTGGTTCCGATTCGTAAATGAGCCTGTATGTGCCGAGGACATTGCTCGATTGGCCACTATGGCAATGCATGGGCCTTCCCGCTAGATACATCAAGTTCAAGGGTGAGTATGTCCGCCATACCATCTACATTGCTATGAGTCAATGACCTATTTGACATGGTTTGAAAATAGATTGAACTTCATTTTGCTCTTCCGACAAGCCGATAACATCCATGTTGCGAGCGTTGAGTACTGTTCAATCATGATTGATGCATTGCTGTCAGAACCTGCACCACCTGCAGCAATGAGAAGGGCCTCATTTCTGATAGATCACAGACTGTCATGTATCAAAGTGGATGATACTGCTATGGCAGACTTGCTGATTCTCTTTGTGGTGATCGTGAGGAGTCCCGGGACAGATTGTCAGAAGTTGACTTTAGAGACTTTGTAGAGCATGTCTGGCATGGTAGTGCGGTAAGGCAGCTGAGTCTAAAACACGTTAGAGAAGCGGAACGAAATGGTATGCCTACATTGTGCTCTTCTGTTCTACAATCTGACTGTCTTCTTATAAGACTCACTTATCACTTGCAGTCAACACTCAACTCTTCATTAAGAGGTCACCAGGTTATCATCAGGGAATACACTTCGCATTGGGCTCTTTTCATTAAAGAAAATGTCAGTAATATGGACAGTGATGACCGTAACAGCACACCTCTGCTCAGTGCAGAACTCGACTGATATCTACTCAGCCTCTGGTCCATAGCTTCAGCTATGAGTACATAACTAGGTTTGATCCCCGATACTGAGAGCACTTCCTATTGAGTGCAGTGTTCTGTTTAACAATGACTGTGAAGGTCTATTTAGAAATTCATCAGGCTTCTGTCAACATCTGTAGGTAGTTCATTTTTTGCATCTGTCACTATAGGTCTTGCTTTGGTTGGTTGTAGATGGCATTGTTTTCAATAAGATCACCAGTCTCATTTGATCGCTATCTATCACCCCACCTTCAATTAGTCCATCCAAGCCTCACACATCCTCTAGTGATGTACATATAAATATTGCATTTAAGATCTCATGCTATTCTGGATACAGGAAGCTACAAGAAAGTTATGGATCAAGTACATGGATGTCAATGGCCAAGTTATGCTGCTGAATGTCATCACGGATATCACATCAGGCACTATACTGGAGGAGTTGTTTTCTGCTATTGCCTATGCTGTAACTTTAAGGCCAAAAATTCTTTATTCTCATCTGCTGAACATATTCAAACTGCGACTGTCATGTCCTACTTCTCAGGCATTGAAATTCTTGCTCACCAATGCTATAAAAGGAGTTTTGCTGCTACTTGTCAATGGCTCACCAAATCCTGTAGTCTGTGAACCTGTCATTGCCAAATCACAGGTGCAGTGGAAGTATCACATGGCCAGCCATTTAGATGATGTCAGTTTGAAAGACTTTCTGAACATCAAACACTGGTCATGTGCCCTAGTTGCCTCAGATGTGATGGTCAGTTTGCTTTACCTGTCTTTGTCTGCAAGAGCTGCAATGACCCAATGGCTGAAGAGCGAACATTCTGAAATGTGCAATGTGGTATATCTAGCCCGAATTGTACATGGCTTGTTGGACTGCAGCTGCACTGCTAACTTTCTGTCTGGAGAAGACCACAAATACCTGACTTAATATTTCGCAAGGCTGCTGAGGGCCATCTTGTCTGCCAAAAATTGCCAGGGGTCAGTGCTCATAGACTCTACATGTGCACAATGCATATGCATGTTGATGGAACAGCCCACTTCATTATGAACTGCATTTCTGTCAGTCTTGCAGGATAGATGCAAGAAGCTGAAGCCAGATGAATTATTTTCTAACTCATTGGCAACAATTAGGTGACTCAGCATGTATGACAAAGACCTATATATAATAGATTGAGTTATGAATCAAACATTGTCATGAGCTGCGAACAACCTCTGTGTTGAAGGTGAGCTTTCAGAGGAGTAAGGAGCTGTCCTAGATGAACTGAGTAAGCCATACTTTGATGTAACTCCTGCATTTCTAACCATTGTTGAAGGAGTAACATACTCCAAATAATCTCATAGATCACAAAATGAAGAAGACAGTTACCGGGACACTGTCCAATAGTATTATCCATAGGAATGGTATGATAGGACATTGTCCAATCATGGTATTCTTAGAGAATCATATGATAGAGAGTAAATATGCCATTGGCCAGCACACACAGCCATAGGTCACATGGTAGATACTGTAGTATTACTCATCTATGTAAGTAGATAGCAGCTGTAGATACCAGAGATTCTAGACTGGTATATGATGTCTTAACCCACATATATACAGTATATATACTAAGTAGCTACACCTTAATTAGAGAGACTCATCCCCACTATGGGAGTCATATAGAGCAGCCTTGCCCACTGGGTCTTTCTCAGTTGCTGTCTGTCCCTGTGCATGCTACACTAGCATGTAGCTCATTCAACAATGTTGTCATCCAGTTTTTCCTTTACCGATTGTCTCATCACATAATACCCTCTGATCAATTTGGTGTTGACCATCATGGTCAAACATAGACTTGTGGATGCCAGAGCTGTGCATTTCATGCAATTGTGGGTGAAAGCTGTGTATCTGAAAGTAAATTGTGAGAATTTTAGATCTATATCAATCTCAGAGTGTTTACAGCCCTTCACTGTCAATAAATGCATTCAGAACATTGTGCAACATCCTCAACTATTCACAATATGTGCCATGACAGAGCAGCATTGAGCTACATGAGATGTGATCATTGACTTGATTTATGTGCTTTGTGTGTGCTAGTCACCATGCCCCATAACACACTTTCTCAGCTGGCACCAAACATGTGCATTGGCACTAACACACTTTATCGTCTCCAGGGCAGCATTCAATGTACATATGATGCAACATATACAGGCTGTTGTCTGATCAACATGCATGCCATCCAACATCATAATGGAAGGGAGATCACTGAGTTATCTGGCCCTCAGCCTTGACTCACTCCTGACTAGTGACTACACTATACTAACCTCAACATCCCATCTCCACCATCCTTTTTCATTCTCCCCATTCTGACATCCTTTAACAAGATCACCTTCCCTTCATCTATTAAACAGCACACCTCTGCTCAGTGCGGAACTTGACTGATATCTACTCAGCCTCTGGTTCATAGCTTCAGCTATGAGTACATAACTAGATTTAATTTCTGATACTGAGAGCACTTCTCATTGAGTGCAATGTTCTGTTTAACAATGATGGTGAAGGTCTATTTAGAAATTCATCAGGCTTCCATCGACATCTGTAGGTAGTTCATTTTTTGCATCTGTCACTATAGGTCTTGCTTTGGTTGGTTGTAGATGACATTGTTTTCAATAAGATCACCAGTCTCATTTGATCGCTATCTATCACCCCACCTTCAATTAGTCCATTCAAGCCTCACACATTCTCTATGCCCTCCCATTTTGCCCACCACTTCTGTACTCTATTGAGCCTCGCTCAACCGCTATGTACTATATATGAATGATCTGTGGTATATAAATGTATTTAAAAAAAAACTTGATTCATGTGCATTTCCATCCTCACCTAACAAACATGTGTCAGTTCACACAGAAGTGAACACTAGCTCAGCTGAGCCTGGTTGAAATGTTTTTCATAAACATCTACTCTTCTGTTTATATTCCATGACTTTTATGTAAACTTAAGAATGAGCTCAGGATGAGCCTGCAGATGAGCCTAAAAGTGAGCCCGAGCATGAGCCTGAGAGTGAGCCTGAGAATGAGCTTAAGCATACAGTGACCCACAAAACTGTTGATAAGATTGCTTACTTTGACTTGTATGGTGAATATCTCCTCAACCACTGAGTCATATAAATGTCATAAGAGCTCATTTGAAAGCCTATTATCATGGCTTTACAATGCAGTCTTATTTATATGTTTAGCATATGTGGATCTCAAGATATTTGATACTCTTTGAGGGCCACTCTTATCAACAGTTTTGTGGCGCACACACAAGTTCTCAGAATATTGTGATTCTTGATGTGTTGACAGGGTTCCTTGTGGGAATATTGATTGGATGATCATGTTTCAACATGAACAATGTACAAACAGCCATACACAACTCTTCACACTCAACCAACGTCATGCCAAAAGCTGTTGCTACTGAAACTGTCAACCATGTCATTGCTTTGCTTCAGAATGGCAAATTTGTTCGAGAAATTGAAGCTTTGACTAGGCTACACTATTCTATCATTAGTAAACTGTGCTCCACACACTGTCCCACCATTCCTAAGGCCAAAGGAGGGCATCCT